TTCATATCTAATAGTAGGAATGGCAGGACAAAGGGCACAAATATAAATGTTTGCAAGGTAGGAAACATCTTCAATATACACAGTTTTACTTTTCTAACTGAATAATCAGCCTTTGGAATGAATTGCCTTCAGATGTGATGAATGAAATAAACTTATTGAAATTTAAAGGTAGATTTGATAAATATATAAAATATCAGGGCCAGATTTCAGTTGCTTTTGTTTTGCAATTTAGTGTACAGGACAGCCTTGATGGATCACTGGGCTCCTTTTTGCCCCTGACTGTTACGTTATATTGGCTTACTTAAAAAGATTTAGAAAAGGGCTACTAGAATGATTCCAGGAATGGAATAGTTATCTTACAGGGAAATGTTAAGATCACTTAACTTATATTTTCTTGCAGAGAGTAGGGGTGATCTTATCAACATTTTCCATACAGGCCTGGGTCATTTATATATATTACAACCTTTTACAGTGTTACATTCAAAATTTAATTAAACAACTTTATTTTCACTGGTTGTCAGTAAACGTTGCATAAAAATATAGTTTATAATATATATTTGTACATTATTTAAATTTTTACTTTTTAATTCTTTTTTTGTGTTACATGATGGGTTTCAGTTATGTTTCTAACTTTACTTATTTTATAACAACACATAATTACAAGCAAGGATCTAAAATTTGAAGCTCCAACCTTCTTGAATTGTTGAGATATCAATAAATTTGTCATACCCACCAGAGAAACCCCTCCCCTCTCTCTCTGACTTTCAACATTGTTCACTATTTAATTATTCATGGCTGATGGACAAAGAGCAGGTTATCCTGTACATAAATCTTCTGTTGCTTAGTTTCTTGCCTTATACAGGTAGCATAACTATTTGGTTTATGGTGGTCATATTTACTTGCTCAGAATGTTAAAGGAATTTTTAACTTGTTTATAGTTTACTTGTAAAGCCACATAAATGATAGTTTTTCTGTGATATTCTACTTAAGTGAGAAATAAAATCTATATTTCAAACTCCACAAATTCTTTTATGGACATACAAACTAATGAGAAGAACAAGTCTTACAGAAGAATGTTTTAATTTTTACTCAAGTGAAAACAAGCTTGGGTATGCAACAAATACTACAATGTATATTTATTGTTTTACATATTCTTTAACAAAATTAACTGAAATGTAAAAATTAGCCACTTCTTGGCTTAGTCTAATAATATATACAAAATAAAACATTTAAACTTTCACAAGTACAGCATGTGCATAAAACAGGCTTTGACAAATCCCAGACCCCAGGTTGCCAAGGTGACTAAAGACTTCATTGTGGCACCCAGTATTTTCTTCCATTCTATTCAGGTGTAGGGCTATGCTAAATACAATTTTAATCTAGAGCAGTTCTCAACTCTTGGGAATTCAGAACTATTTTCACGTTCTATGAGTTCTAAATCAAACTTTGTTTCTAAGATCTTAATAGTGGATTCAGCACTTCATGTTTTTTCAAGAATGAAGCAATGAGGTTGCATGACACATTATTAATTTCATGCCATTTTGTTTTTCTTCTTTCTCTCAATTCAATCAATCAGTGTATGTGTGTGTAGACTCAGATGGGACCAAATACAGTTAGTTCAGGTAATACTAAGAAGTGGTTGCTGATATTATGCGATTGTTAGCATGCACTAATTGCTGTGAAAATAAATAAATACACACTGGTGCCACAATTATTTGCACTGACCAAGGAAAGCAAAAAATTGCAAATAACAGAAACAGTGGATAATCGAGGCACTAATGTATCTCACTAGTTAGCCCACTGTTCAATCTAAATAAAACTGTTCAATATATTTAAATTCCTTGCTTTAAGTCATAATCTCTTTTACTGTAATTTAATCACATTATCATGAAAAATTATAAAAGTTGTCACAATCATAATAATAAAAGCCAAGTGTCGGTCAGTCATACTTGATTTCTCTGAATTTCATTAGTTACAAAAGTCCAATTCCACTTTTTCTCCTATAACACTTCCTCTTTTGATTGCCCCTTCTCATTTCAGTTGAATTTAATTGCTAACATAGGCAAAAATAGCTCCTAAACTTTGTCACTTTTTATGCTATAAACAAGGATGTGCATTCACACCCTATCAATGCCTGTGAAAAACAAGTCAAAAGTTAACACAAACCTATTCTTGGAAATATTTACAAAAAGCCTTTGTTAAAACAGACTAAAGATAATAATTATCTGTAGGGAAGAGGACAATGTGAAACTGGGCAACACCCCAACACAACCTGAACATGTATCTGTAGATAAAGGAGATCCTCCATGCAGCATAGAACAGCGGATGGCAACTGAAGTTGAGTGAAATCTTTAAGAAATCTTAACGTGTATTTTGTAGACTGTGTTTTTAATCACTAATCAAATAAAGTTAACCAAGTTACAAATAATTTATATTCCTGTCTTAACAGCTAAAAACAAAAGAGGCAAGGTTAGCCTTGAACCAGCTGACTTATGATTTGAATGCATGCAAAATCCCATGAACATCAGCCTACACCTGAACTTCTGCAACCAAAATTAATTTCTGAGCAATATTTCTCCAAAACATGTAAAATAATGTCTAGAATTGTAATGACACAATTATCTTGACAAAATCTGGGGAAAAGAAAAAACCACAGATAATCAAGGATCGTGGATAATGTAGGCTTAGATAACTGAGGCACTAGTGTAGCCCCCATTACAAACAGTAGTGAGTTAGGTTAGGCACACTTGGCTCCTAAGTTTTTGGGCTGGCTCCCAATCTGAAGATATTTGTCAGGCCTGGCACAATATGACACTTCACAGTTACTTGCTAATTAGATTAGCTGTAATGGAAAGAACTAATGGGATCCCACATTGATTTATTTCTTTTAAAGGAGGATCACTGCCCCATCTGCATACAAAGTATAGAAATAAAACCACATAATTAAAAGGAAGTAGATTTGAAAACGTTATCAGTTGAAACTGTTAAGGTTAATAATCTGAATCTTTCTCCTGCTCATCAATACTGCAGTGGAAAAAAACAGTATTGTCAATTTTATTTCATATTTGTAAACTTTCGTTTCACTGTGCATTGATGAATATATACAGTTAGTGTTAAGATACAGAAAATAAGAAATAAAAGATAAATTATTACCCAAAAAACTTTTAATATTCATTTAGAAGATTCTACTGGCTATATAAATGAAATATAAAACACTCTAAAATGAAAATAATTATTTTTTATTTTTAGTATCACTCAGTAAAGGCTTTGGAAATTCCTGGACAAATCTTTAGTAAAAGTACTTTATTAAAAATAATGATTTTTTGTGTGCACAGCACTTGTAACATTTACTACAAGCTTGCCAAATTTCTTGAAGTTGCAAACAGTAAATTCAGAATTACAGTAAGTATTATTATGTATAGCCTAACAGATAAGGCGTTCATCAATTTGAGTGAGCTCGTGAACAATGGGGTAAAGTTTACAAGGTTATTCAGGGAATCAACATGATAAAGCCTTTTGATTTCTTTCTGTTATATTTGAAGAGAGAATGAGAGGATACAAGTTTAAGATTTAGAAAAGGCAAGCTAAGCTCTAGTTATGACAGGTTAAACTTTTCTAGCATATTGACTGATTTATGGAATAAGTTGTCATTTACAGGAGTGGAAAGCAGCGTTTCATAGGAGTTTAAGAGAAGAATTTAATGATTTCCTGAAAAACTGAAAGGTGGTTTAAATATTTACTTTTTTCAAGGATGGGTGTGAAAGGATGGGTTTCAAGGTGCAAATGGTCCCTTATTCATGGATAATATTTATCAGTATATTTAGAATTTTTCTCAATACCAAAGAAGACTTACTAACCTATAATTTCCAGTGCAAATTTTATTACCTTGTTTAAACTTATGAGTTGCAATAGAAATACTCCAATCCTCAGAAACTTGCCCACTATATACTTGCATACCAAACATGAGAGAGACAGGCTCATATATTTGATCAATGAATTTATTAAAAATCCTGGGGAAAAACATGTGCTGTAAACTATCAATCTTGATTTATGTATATAGGATGATAAAAGAAGGCTAATTTCTGATAATTAGGTGATGACTCAATTAGTAAATTCTACTTTTCTTCAATTTTTACTTAAGAAAATTTAAGCAATACTCATCATTTTGAACAGTTGATAGATTACATATTTAATAGTGGCAATGGTAGAACTAGGAGGACACATAAAATAACAGTATCCACCATAAATAAAGGCAACCACTCTGTTATAAAGTTATTCTGGTTGAAGATACTTAGATAGCTCCTACCATGCTCAAATTTGTATTTATGTTCCCTAGTCCAATGATTCTTACCATTAAGTACAAAAAATATGATGCATAAACACTATCATTTCCCTGAACATTAACAACCTTAATTAAACAGCTGAACCAAATACCCTCTAACTCTTCTTTTTTCAAGGGAAAACATTTAAACAATCATATTCCTCGTACGACAAGCTTTCAATACCAGGTTTCATTGTAATTTGTAGTACTAGTAGTAGCCCTCCTCTGAACACTTTCCAAGAATTCAGTGTCCTTACTATTAAGATAAGGCATTCAAGACTCAACACAATATTTCAAACGTGGCCTATACAATGACATAATAACCTCTTCAGACTTGTATTCAATATTTCTATACCTACAACTACATCCTATTTCCTTACCACTATAAGTTATAACTATAAGCTTGTGAAAGCGTATGCCTGATGATGTGGTGTGTGCTTTATGTGGAAATCAGCTAGTGGTTGGGAAAAACTATTGTAAAGACTGAAAGTCACAAAAACTTTCTGGCTAATGATTATGAAATGAATCATACACTAATCAGCTAGTGGTTGGGATGGATTTTTGTAAAGAACGAATGAATGTGGTTGGGAATGTGAAGCACAATATTTGAATAAGGTTTGTTTAAAAACATAAACTGAGACAAAGTTTTATCACCTTCTCTTTTCTCATTTGAACTTACCGACATAGATAAGTTAGCAGGTGAAGTTTCTCTTTTATTTTTATTGGTATTTGCAATATTTGGAGAAATGACATCAGAACCCATTTCTTTTCCTTCACCTGTTAAGTTGTAATCACCATCTTCAATATCACTCCTGAATAAACTCTCTGTATCAACCACTTTTGTATCCATATATTTAAATTGTTTATTAGTGTTACTACTATTACTGTTAGCTAAGATGTCAATATCCTCCAAAACATTAACATTGCTTGATGAAGCTTGTGAATGCAAAATCAAAGTTTCTGATGTTCTTTTCAAATTTTTAGTTTTTATATGATTCAATTGATTGACAGCTTGGTCCATATTTAGGGATTTTTTATTAGGACTATTGCAGTTTGAAATTCTCTGAGACGTATCTAAAGCTTTTGACCATCTTAAAGATTCATATTTAGTTGTACTTCTAGCACTGGGTTTTGTATTTGACTTATAACTGTTGTTCTGTTTGGAACTAGAAGAAATTTCATTAGTCATACTCATAGCTGGATTAGTTTTTCGTATCTCGAAATCTTTACAATCCAAATATTTCTTTTCTTTCAGACTGTTACTTAACCAAAGTGTTGTAACTACATTTACCGTTTGGCCTACTTTTGTGAGAGTTGAAAATATTTCATTCCCTTTTAAAATTTTACAAATCTTTAACCATTCGATGGACTCATCAACAATAATATGAGTGGTCATTTCAGTAAGCGTTTGTTCTACATTTCCACCATACTTAGTTAACTGCTTTTGGAATAATTCAAGCCTTTTATGTCCTATGCCAGAAGGAATAATAAACGCCTTAACATCACGAAAGAACATTGTTTCTTCATTGCTTGATGTGGTTTCCGTATTACGAGTTCTAGTTTTATTACAGCTTTCATCCTTCTTTGTACAAGTTGTAGCGGTACTGCTTTTCTCCATGTTACCAACTCGAGATGAAATTCAATAGAACTTAGAAGATAGGGCGCTTTAAATGTACATCTGAAGATTGAGAGTTCCCCAAAATCTCGTATTATTCAATTTTCTTTAATTAAAATAGTTCCTATTAATTTCGTCGAATATTTTCCTTTTATAAAATCTACAAAAAAAACAAACAATAAACATCATCTTTCACTTTCAGCTCCACTAAATGAGTTTCTAATAACATTCTAATAAAAATTCTTAACTTAAAGGGGGGGGGGGATAGAGATCTTTAAAAAATTACAGAAACAGGATAGATAGGAATTAATGTATATCTCAAACCTTAAGCTTGTTTGTATAATTTTTTTTGCGATTGCATTTTCACTTTAAGCTACCCATCTTGTTTCTTTTCTTTTTGAAGATCCATATTCCCTTTTTTCTAGATTAACAATTTTAAATAATCTTGTTTCTCTAGTTTTTATGTACATAAATCTGTATAATAGCAATTAATTAATTAATTATACTGTCCTATTTCAAACAATTTAGTTTGATGAAATTCGTAGTTTTTTTGTAGTTGGTTTATGATACTCTCTCGAGAAACAATAACAACATTTGGATTGGTTTCCTGCAGATTTGATGGCTATTGCTCTTGATATCAGTGAAAGTGGTACTACATGTAGGATCACTATGATGCATGGGGATCAACATACCACATGTTATGTATATGCTTATATAATATATACATCTACTGTATTGACACCCTGTAGCTGTAGGGAGAGTCTGTAAACACTGAATTGGAGGGACTACTGAACTATACTGGAATGGTGCACGCAGTGGATTTTGTAACCTTGTGAGTTTTATACATGCACATGCAATGCATGTTGGTTAGTGTATATGTATATATTTACATGTATACATGTAAGCTTTATAGTTTTTTAAGTTGTAAAGCCGCATATATGGATAGCCATATGCATGAAATTTTCAAGTTGTATAAATGCATGCATATATATTCAATGCAAATATAAGACAAAGTATCATAATATGTATACATATAAGCATTTTTAATATATCTTATAGTTGTTATACTTTCCCTTCATTTTTCTCCTCCTCCTATCCAATGGTCATATTAAGGCCGGTCATGATTTTGATGCAGCTGGCAAGATTTCCTCTTAAAATGACATTTTGCACACTCTATACGGTCTAAAACGTGTTCATTAAGTTAACAATTATGAAGTGATTATATTAATATACCTTTCTCCACCCTATTTCTTACGGAATTCGGGTCGTGACATCTCCAGTCCCTCTTCAATTGTGACCACATTAAACTCTGATGGGCCTTCGTTGCTGCATACTTTATCTGAAACTAAATGTTTTCTAAGTACAATTTATAGCTACAAAATATATCTTCCTCACTTTCGACTATAATTTTCGCCATCTCCTACTTGTACGATTCTTGCCTCTTCAAGGATGGTTACTCTATCTACAGTATCTATAAAATTTGCAATCATGCAGTGTTGGCTATAATTCAACATTTACCACCAGCATTCATCATGGTTGCCAATCCAATGCTCGAAACTAAGCTTGGTGCTATCAAGCCGTGTATGTAATTTAATGTTTATCTGTCAGACATGACGCATCTACCATAGCGATTATCAGCTTATTGTTGCAACTGTATTGATGTCGCGTATCATTTGTTTATGTATAGAGTTCCTACCCTTTCGGACACGACGATGCTGACGGGATCACAGTTTTTTACCACTGCATGAGCTATTTCGGCCATGCTACACAAACGTCTAGACTATCTCCCACAACATAAATCTTTAAACCATAGTTAAAAAATACGCAGCTATATACGTATGCATGTAATAGATTATTAGGCTCCATATAAACCACAGACAACATTAAAACGATTGGGTATGAACAGTTATACAGCCACTGTTATTGGTTATATAATCAAATAAACTTAAAACTACTCTACACAATGTGGAAAAATGTTTTTAGAAATATTGCCTTGGAGTTATTACAATACGCACAGCCATTTTTGCTGAAGGCTAGTGAAACAATATTAAATAATAATAAAGAACAAATGGGCGATCCATAATAATGGTTGGAGACGGCTTGAATGGGTAATGAAGAAAAACTTTAATATAAGTTTAATATAACAGCAAATATACAACGTTTCGACTAAGGTTTATACAATGGGCGATCCCTAATGATGAACCACTACCGTGGTTCGTG